TTCCAGACCACTCTAAGCCAACCCTTTCCTCATCTCGGCCACCTCTAACTGGCCCTATGCAGAAGGGCTCTGCTTTCCTCTTACTCTTCCTCCTTCTGCCTTTAAGAAGCAGCAAACAGCTCTATCCTTGCCCTCTCCCAGCAGCAACGCCTGGGGACCCCAGAGCAAGGGGGAGCCAATTCACCCCTTAATGCCAGTAGCCAAGGGACTGAGTTACTGCGTCAGGTCAGGAAGCCACAACCAAATATGCTTGTCCTGGCAGGTCCCTCTTCCACTCATAGCCTTTGGCTGTCACCACTCCCCATCCTGCCCTGGCTGCACAGTAGCTGTGGACCGCCTTCCATCCCCGTGCCCCTGCGGAGAGGTCTACGTGCTGCCCTTGGGCTGTGGAGCTCAGCCAGGAGGAGGATGGCAGGACAGGGACACCTACTGCCCTGTGCTACAGGGAGAGCCCTGTAGCTCTGGTGGCCAGCGCAGGTTTGCTGCAGGGCACTAACATCAGCTAAGCCTACAGGGAAAGGAGCAACTGTGCACACAACAGCCCTGCTAAAACCAGGCCTCTGCGTCCTAAAATGGTCCCCCATTTTCACGCCTCCATCCTGGCTTCTGCAGAAACGGAGGGAACAAATTAGGATGGTTGAGGATGTCTAAAGACGGTAGAGTCGGCACGCCTGGAGTGAAGACAATCCCCCGCAGGCTTGGTCCCCAGGTCCCTGGGGACGTGCAAGGGCAGGCTGGGGAGGGGGGTGGTGACACGCAAGGGGACGGCAGCCCCTTGCCCTGGCCAGGGGGAGCAGCCAGCTCCATGCAGCTTCTTCCTGCTCTTGTTGGCTACGGGACTGGAGCTGGGCCCAGGTGGCCAGGCACTCCTCTGCAGGCGCCGTGGTGCCCTCGCACGCTGGGAGGGTTGGGGGACTGGCGTGGAGATCTTGCCGAGGAAGGAGGGATGGTGTGGAGGAAAAGTCGGAAGGTACAACACAAACATCCAGGTGATTGCGGTGGAGGGGAAAGAGGGAGTCTCGGGAGGCATTTAAGCCTAGTGCACAGAGAGGAGAAAGACACAATTTACAAGGCCATGAGGATGCAGGTAACCCAGGCAGCAGGCAGAGCAGCGCCCAGGCTACCCACAATGACAGCAGGCTACTTTGGACAAGGAGGGAGACTTGTGAGGCCAAAACACTAGGGCTCACGTCTTGGCCAGCACACTCTAGCAGGCTAGCAGGAACAGCTAGCTCAGGGAGGGACAGGTATGGTGCTACAGTGTAAGTGCTCCCTGCTCTTGGGCCTCATGCACCCACAGGGTGCCTGCAGAGACCTCAGGCACCACTGAGCCGGTGCCACCCCTCCTCTCATAGCCCAGACCCTGGGTCTCTTAGCCCAATTACCTGGGCAGCAAGAGGCTGCTCCAGGCCCCAAGGTGCTCCCATAGCTGCCCAGGGCAGCAGGGCACAGAGGTTGCTGGCACCCTTGGGATTGCTATGGCCCTGCCTGCTGCAGCCAACAGCTGAGGGGTGGCAGTAGGGACTGGCCTAGGGCAGTATATCTGAGGTCTCCAGACCAGCATAGGGAACAACTGGCTGTAACAGGCAAGAGAGACTCATCTTGGCCTCCTTTCTGGGGGAGCTGCAGCCCAGCGCAAGGCTGCTGGCTAGGGAGAGGGAGCTGGCTGCTTCTGCAGCAAGTTGGGGAAGGCACCTAGCACCAAGCAGCAGCACCCGTATCCCCAGGGTGCTGAGCTAGCTCCCAAACCCTACAACCGGCTGGGCCAGGGCAGGCCTGCCAGGCCCCTGGGGAAGGATCACAAGGGCAGGGACAGCACAAAAGGCACAATTCCCCTCAGCTGGGCTGTAAGAGGGGGCGGCATTGCCTGCTTGCCTCGGCATGATCAGCTCAGAGACCACTAGGAAGGTCTCTCAGATCACCACCAGCACAGAGCAACCAGCCACCACCACAGCCAGGAGGAACTGCAGAGAGATACCGGACAGGACAGGGACAGAGTGATCCTAACCTGAACCCACAGCCCTCCCTCCACGCTCATCCAGCCCCTCTACTGACAGGGAGCACAAGGCCCAGGGTTGGTGCCTTGCCAGGGCTAGGACCCTCTTTGGGCCTGACCCCAAGGGCTGGGACAGGGTATAGCCCTGCATCTGGAGGACCCTCTGGGCCCCCTTGCAGCTCTGCTTCCCAAGGTCCCCTCTAGCCACCTCCTGGGTACAATCCACAATCAAGAGAGCCAGCGGCTTCATGAAGGCTTTGGATCTGAGGGGCTGTCATGGCAACAGAGAAGAGAAAGGAGGAAGGGAGGGAGCTCATGCAGGGCGAGGATGGAGCGGAACCACATGGGGGAAGAGTTAGTGACAGCAGACATGAGGAGGGAGCGGAGAACTTGCGTGCTCAGTTCATCGCCTGTGTCAGGCCACAACCAGCCCCATGTGCTAGCTACGCTACAGTCCCAGCTAGGGCCTGCAAGGGGCACAGGCAGCGTTAACAGCTCTCGCAGCCCTCGAGCCAAGCACCCACCAGCGCAATGCTTGCATGCTGTTTCCTCTCCATCCTCCTCCTTACAGAGGCTGAAAATTACTTGTCTCAGACCCAGACCACTACGCTCCTCCAAACTCGGAGCTAGTGACCAAAGTACTTTTCGGTTTCAGAGCAAGCCTAGGCAGCCTCAAATCACCCTGCCTGAGCCTCAGCTAACACCAGCCTCTTTCGCCACCACTGGTCAGCCTAGCCTAGCTTCCTACAAGGACCTGCCTTTTATCACCTCCGCTTGGCCAGAGCCCACAGATGGCACAAGGCCAGGTGAGTGGGACAGCAAAAACATAGGCTACAGACTATTCCCCGTGCCCTGAAATCACTCAGTTGCACAGACGCACCAGGCACACACGCGCGCAACCCTCCCCGGACTCGGAACTGCCTGTGGCGTGGTGCAGGACAGCCAGCCAAGCTGCTCAGAGCGGCTGCATGGGCCTGAGATGGGGCCGATGCTCTCAGCCAGGGGTCTCAAGAGGGGAGCAGCAGTGAGAGGTGTTAATAAGAGTGTCAGGGCTAAGATTAAGGGCAGGCCAGGACCAGCTCGTGCTGTGTATCGCCAGGGCCTGACAGCCCCTTAGGAGGGGGGGCCATCAGTTGGGACTACCTGGCCTGTATACCAGAAGCTGGGCCCAGACACGCACCTCTGTGGGCCTGCTGGCTTATGCCAAGAGAGAGGAGAGGGAAGTGTGCAGGGAACGAATGGAGGCAGACAAAGATGCCACGACAGGCCACGTGGGGAGAGCCCTGAGCCAAGCTGTCCCCTGCCTCCAGCAGCCGGCCGAGGCCATTCTTGATGGTGTCTTGTACTTACCCCACTCCATTCCACGCCCATACTCACTTCCTCGCTACCGTCTGTGGTATTCTCGTACTTGACGCTGCCCCCCAAGCTTCGCCGCCTCTCTGCACCATCACCCTCCTTTAGGATCTCCACCACCTTGGTCTGGTTAATGGGGTCAATGCCCTGCAGCAGAAGGGGACAAGGAAGCACTAGAGGCTTCGCTGTTCTGCACTCCTTCCCTCTAGCGCTCTGCCATGCCGTTGCTCTGCCTTGTCCAGTCCTGACCATTGCCCCATCACAGCCAAAACCCTCCTACACAGAAAGGACAGAGCCAAGTACGCTTCAGCCCTCAGCAGTCTTTGTTCAGGTTCCAGCTCAGGAAGTCCTCTCCAAGCCACCAGCCACCCTGGGGAACAAGGGCACACAGCCTCAAAGCTGACAGCTTGGTTTCTTTGTGCGGCAGTGCGTGAAGGTTTCTGCTGTCCCTCAGTCTCTGTGCTGGGCACTAACCGCTCCTGCTTTATTATTTGAGGACTGAAAGGAGTTTAGGGTGGGAGGCACTTCTGGAAATCTCTAGGGAGTCCCCTAGACTAGAAAGTAGCAGGAAGAAAACATCCCAGGGCAAATCTCAGCTGCTAGCAAAGCCCAAGACCCTGTCCTGGTACAGCTACACACTTCTGCACTCTGAAAGCCACACATGCTCCCCCCGTGCTTACGCACACACATGCTCCAGCACACGTCCCTCCCGTGTATGCATGCGCTTCCACACCCCCATGCACACGCAGACACCTGCATGCCCCTGCACAAATGCAACCCCAACCATCAAGGTGCTCCAGCATTGTGTGAACGTAACCTAAGGGCACTAGAGGCTGTAAGGCACAGGAGAGCCTACCACCACACACTGAGCCAAACACCACACTGTAACCTGCCACCCCCGAGTGCCACAGTGCCCCCTGCCACTGGGAACGGTCCCCTCCAGGGTTACCTGCCGCCGAGAGCGAACCGCGCACTCCTCCAGAGTCTCAGCCGCCTCTAGCTTGCCCTGGCGCCGGTACAGTGCACCCAGATTCCTCAGTGTAGTGTTCACGGTTGGGCTGCGGAGATAGATAGAGGATGAGAGGGAGCCTGGTGGCCACCTCCTGCCACAGCTTGCAGCTGCCTGTGAACCCCTCTTACCTGCTAACCTTGCAGGCCTTGTACCAGCCGCCATACTCGGCATAAGGAGCACTATCTCTGTGCTTGCTCTATAGGGTGAGGAGAGAAGAGAGTCAGCCATTAGCCCCATGCCTGTTGCAATTCTCCAGCCTGGGCTCTCCAGCTGGGTCCCAGGAGTAACCCCCAGGACATGTTGGGCCATCCCCAGCACCAGTGCCACTTTCAGAAACATCACGTGCAAACACTGGTGGGTTCCCAGAGGGGAAGCTGCAACCACTTTCCCTGCAACATATTTGGGCCACAAGCAGAGGTGACATCCGCACCCCAGCAGTAAGCACGCTCCCATCTCCTTGCCCCTTCCACAGGGCCAGAAGCAGCAGGGCCAGTGCAGCCCATCCATGCAGCTCTCCAAGGGCTGTATCATTGTTCCCCATCCCTCACCAGCACACAACAGGAGACAGAAAACCCCAGAGGCAGGCCAGCCAGCACAGGCACTAAAACCCACAGCTTCCCCCCAGCCACTGCCCTGACTTCTGCCTGCGGGGTCAGGTGTGCCCACAGCAACTCTGTCCCACTAAGCTGTCCTCTCACCACCCTCAGCCTTTGCACTCCAAAGCTGGCCAGCTGCTTCCCCCCGCCACCCCCGGCCAGGAGCAAAGAGGCTGCTGGCCAGACGTTGATGCCCAAGAAGAAAGCTAGGGCTGGGATGAGCCGACGTGCAGGACGCTGGCTCCTGGCCAGCACTGCCTGGGTCAGTGTGAGCCATGGTGCCTGCAGGCAGGAGTCACTGCTGCTGTAGGAGTGGGGTTGCCTGCCCACACACTGTGCGCCCATGCCCCCGAGTCTGCACCCACAGGACACACAGTCTGGGCAGGCAGTGCCCAGCTCAGCTCCAAGCACAGCAGAGCTGCTCTCACCAAGGACCAAGGCTCTGCAGCAGGGGTTTCCCTTCCTTCGAGCAAGGGCTCTAGCCCCTGAAGGAACAGTCCTCCTAGGGGCCTTTTTTCCTGCTCAGCCCCACAGCGCTCCTAGGAGCTCCAGCCCACGTGCTGGAGATTCCCCGAGCCATACAGTACATTTGGGTTTCCTTGCCCCAAAGTCTGCATGGCTTGGGCAGCTCTAAGGGACAAGAGAGCCCAAGATTCAAAACACCACAACACTTTACATATAGGTATCCACGAACTGGCCACTGAACCCAGGGGGAAAGGCGTTAAATGCCTGGGGCTGTCAGCTGTGCCCAAGGCCCTGGCACAGGCAGGAAAACCAGCCTCCCCCTGCTGCCACTGAGAACAGAGGGGAAAGGGAGGGGTGAGGGAAAAAGAAGTGAAGCTCTCCAAAGAGGGATTTGATATTTTTTAATAGGAGATGTGGAAATGCAGCACAAGGCAGAGAGCAGAAGCACCAGGCACAAGCAGGTCTACAGTCACTGCTGCCCGGCTGGGAGGACTAGGCAAACTCTGGCATCTGGGCACCGCTGCCTGGGAGGCAGCAGTCCCAGAGGCAGCAGGCCCAGGGATACGAGAAGAGTCTCAGCCTTTCCCCAGGCTACAAAATGAATCTCACCCTTGGCAAGAAACACTGTCTCCTCCTAAAACTAACGCCCCAACCAGGCCCAATGGATCATTCCTAGGTCCTCTCCCCTTCTATCCCAAGTCTCCCCCAAAGGCAGCCCATTCTCTCATCCCTGCAGCAAAGCCAGCTAGCTGGAGCACAGCTCCACATTGCAAATGCCTACATTCGACCTCCCACTTCTCCAAAGATACCATAAGAAGCATCTCAACCCCAGAGAGGGCAAGGGGAGCCTGGTCCCTACTCAGTCTTTGATTTCCCCTGTGTAGGATGGTGCCATAGCAGGAAGCAGTGCAATTTCTTTGCAGTAGAGTCTTTGCAGGGCAGCAGCCAGAGCAGGGCAGTGCAGAGCTGAGCCTGCAAAAGCCCTGTGCTTGGGATCCCACAGAGCAGTTCGGTGGGAGGATGCAGGACACTGGCAGGAGGCACCTGCCAGGACCCTGCTCTTAGAGCTCACAGGATGGGAGTGATAAAAGTCTAAGCCACGCCTGTGAGCCTGCTGGCTGAAGCCCACGCAGGGATGGGGCCTGCTCAGAGGGCAAAGGGAAAGGAGAGAGCCAGTGTCTGCTCCCATTGCAGCTAGAGATAGCCTGGAGACCTTCATCCTGCTTCTTCACTTTCCTGGCAAAAAACCCGCTAAGGTCTTGAGAAAAGCAGAGGCAGGACACAGCTGCATTTATCAGCTGTGGCACAGAGCAGTGCTGGGGCAACAGGAGCAATAGCTGCTCTGTCTCTTGGCCAAGGTCAAGGCAAGTGCAATGCATGTCTGCCCTTGTTCAGAGACCAGCTAGGACACGGTGCAGCTAAGGCCTGCTGTGACCGGAGCTGGGTTTCAGGAGGTTTGGCTCTGTTTCCCAAGCAAGGTGATGGCAGCAGTGTCTTCTTAGCCCATCTTTTTCCCAGGCAGCCTTAGAGTTGCTTCAGGAGCAGGCTGTGCTCCGAGTACTAGCAGCTCTTTGAGACAGAGTGCCAAGGCCCTGTGGCACTGCCATCTGTCATCTTCCACCATCTGCATGCTCTACAGGGATCGCTAAAGCAAAGACAGAGAGAGAGAGAGAGAGAGAAAGAGAGCATGCAGTGTGGCTGAAGGGCGGAGTACGCCCCTACCTCAGGAACAGCATCAAGGCCTCTGATGGGCCTCCACTTCCTGCTGCCCCAAGGAGCGGTCACGCCCTTTCCCCATACCTGTGGACCCACAGGGACCCTTCCTGGCCATTGTCCATGGCAGCTCACCATGGCAGCTCTTCAGACTACAGGAAGGAGGTTCTGTTTGTGATGGGAGAGAGGAGCAAAACCCCAGGAACTCCTTCCCCTCTCAGGGCTCTCGCTGCTGCAACAGGCTGCAGCACCGCTTGGACTCACCTTGCTCATCTCCTCTCTCTCTTCCGCGTGCATCCAGATTGGCTTGTGCTCATCTGTGCGGGGAAGAACACAAGACAGCTTCACTCACCACCTCATCCTGCCACTCTGCTGCTTCCTCTGGGGCTCTGCCTCCTGCACAGCCCAGTGCTCCATCCCCAAAGCCAGTGGCTCACCAGAGGGAGGTGACAGGGCTTCCAGCCAATGACCAGAGCACCAAGAAGGACAAGTGACACTGCAAGGGCATGAGAAATAAGGAACAAGTCCTCCCATGGGGGAATACCTGTGCCAGGAGTACAGCAGAGACCTCAGCCCATGCTGGGAACAGCTGCACCACTTGCTACTACCCCTTTTAGCCGCAACAGGGCCCAACCTAGCAAAGACTGAGAGCCAGAGCTCCCTAAGACCCCTTCTCAGAGAAAAGTTGGGGCACAAGACAAGAATGGCAGTATTTCAAGGGCTGCCCCAAGCAGGGACCCCATCCTTCTGCCAGTGGGTTATCAGAACCAGCCAAGCCTGGGCTGAGAGCCAGGAGACCAAACTGCACATCCCTCCCCAGCCCCAACAACTGCTGTACAAACCATCCACAGAGCCAAACTCCTTCACATGAGCACGGGTGAGGATCTCCTTATACAGCACCTCCGCGTCCTTATATTTGCCTTGCTTCAGGTAACAGGAGGCCTGCAACCAAGAAAACACAGCTCCAGCCCTGCTGGGCCACACAGATTAACCTTCTACCTTCCCTGCCTTCTCCCCGCTTCCTCCAAGCGCCAGGCAACGCTTGCCTCACACCACTCTCCATTGCCACACTGCCTCTCCCCATGACCTCACCAGGTTGTTCTTGGTCTTGGCCACATTGGGGTCATCAGGACCCAGGCGGCTCTCATAGATCTCCAGCGCTCGGCAGTAATAGTACTCCACCTCCTCATACTTGCCCTGGTTCTGGCACAGCAGGGCTAGGTTGTTCAGCTGCTTGGCCACATCAGGATGGTCTTTGCCTAGGACCTAGGGAAGCCAGAGAAGAGAAACCACAAAAAGGCAACACTCAGACACTGCAGTGGGCTCTTGGGGACAGCCAGGCAGCTCTGGCCCTAGCCAGATTGTTCTGTCACGCTGATCCCCTGACCAGCATGCTAGAAATAACAGCAAGAGAATAAGCAGGCACTGCAGTCCCCCTAGGATGCGCCTATGCCAGACAGGAGCCGAGGATAACAGAGACTAAGAGGAGAAATCAGGTCTTCTACCTCCTGCCAGGCTCTCTAACACTGGAAACAACCCTGCAGAGACTGGAAAGGTGGTGGCAGAATTGGCACCAGAACAGGCTAGGTGGAGGCAACAGCCACTTTTCAAGCCACGGATCATCCTTCTTTCTAAGCAATACTGGGTTCTGCATCTCCCAGGTGCAGTGAGGTACTGGCGGAAAACCCTCAGGAAGAGCTGGAAGAAAGGAGAGTATGGGGGACCGGTACCTTCTCACGGATCTCCAGGGCTCGCTTACACAGTGGCTCTGCTTCTTTGTACTTCCCTCTCTTGCCATAGAGAACAGCCAGATTGTTCAAGGTTGCTGCCACCTGCAGAGACATAGGCTTCTCTGTGAGGCAACGTAGGATCCAGCAGGATCAGACAAGGGGACCGGGTGGCAACACCAGTAACTGTTTCACTTCCTTTATCCCTGCAGCACAGCTGCTTCTGGAGAGAAAGGGCTCCAGAGACAGAAGGCTACCCTGCCCAGATCAGAGGATCCAGGAGAGGTCAACTACCCCCGACAGGCCATACTGAAGGAGGGGAAAGAGGCAAAACAGTGTCTCACACTGTGTGAGCAGCACCTTTCCCACCACAGGGCACACTGCTCTCCTTGGCAGTCCAGCACAGAGGGGCCTGGCCACGGCCATCCCTAAAGGGAGGCAGGGCACTGATCCAGCCCTGTTGGCACCCACGAGGGAAGGGCAAGGGAAGCAACCAAAGGAGAAGGGAGAGACTTGCCGCTGGATGGTCTTTGCCCAGGGTCTTCTCACGGATGGAGAGAGCATCATTCAGGAGGTGTGCTGCCTCTTTGTATTTATTCTGATCCCTGCAATGCAAAGTTGACCAGTTATTAGGGGTCTGGACACCACAGCCTATGGCAAGCAGCATCTGGAGCAACTGCCCTCCTTTCACACAGATCCAGCCCCCACAGCCCTTCCACTTCTCCCTTCATCCCTACCTTAGCCAGTCTCTACCTTGGCAGTCCAAACCCCTCATCTATGCCAAAACCTTTTGAAAAGGCAGAGCACTGGAAGCTAGGGGAGCCCCCTGTCACCACAAGTCCTGTCCTGGCAAAGGAGAGAGGCAGAAAGCTCTGCTGCCCCAGTCCTGCCCTCCCTTGCTCACCTGTACACCAGCGCCAGGATGTTAAGCATGGTGGCCACATCAGGGTGATCGTGACCTGATGTCTTCTCCAGGTCCTCCAGTGCCTGCTTGCAGAGTGGCACGGCTACCTCGTAGCGTCCCTGTGAGGCGTACTGGATGACAAGGTTGTGGAGGGTACGCAAGCGTGCGGGGATCTCATAGCCTCCCTGCTGGGCAGCAGCCACAGCACTGCTGTGCTGGTGGGGCACTGTGGGCACAGATGAGTAAACGGGGGCAACATTGGGCACAACGGGTTGAAACAGAGGTGGTCGGCAACCATGCATGAGCACAAACACTTACATCCAGGACCGTGCTCCTCCTCCTCATTGGGGAACAGATCATCCAGAGAGTCCTTGGTGGAGTCGCCCTCCTTCTCCTCCTGGAAGAATGGGGATCACGATGCTGTTGGTTCTCAGAGGAGGTGGCAGCAGCCTGGGCCAAATCAGCTGCCAATCTCTCCTCTCCACTGCAGCCCACCAAGGCCCTCAGCTTCCTTGTGGCCTCTGCCACCTTTCCCCTCCCTCCCAATGAAGCCAACACAATATCCCCCAACGCACCCTGGCACCCTTCCCCACGTTCTGCCCGAGACCCTGCCCCATGCGGTCTCCCTTTAGTTGCAGCCAAGTATTGCCGGGCAAGGAAGCCAGCAAGGGACAAGGCTATTAAACCTAGGCAATCCCACTGGTCCCAGCCCCCTGCACAAAGGCAGCTGTTCCCCCAGACAAGAACATACCGAAGGAGAGACATCCTCATCATACTTCTTCAGCTGGTTCATGAATTCAAGGTGTTTCTTCTCTTCCTCCAGCTGAGCCACGGTCTGCTCACTGCGCTGCAGCTTCTGCTGGGTGTTGGCGAGTTCATCACGCAGCCACTGGTTCTCCTGGCACAGTCTCCGCACCTGAGCGCGCAGCTTCTGCTTCTCCGACTCCACAGCGTTCAGATGGTTGGACAATGCCATCATCACCTTGCCAAAAGTCCCAGCTGGCCAGTCAGTACCTACCACAATCCTGTATCCCCTACAACACGCAAGCTCAGGAGGGCCCACCCTCTGGGTCACCCTGGCCCTCTACCTTCAGCTCTTTGCTGCCCCTGCAGCTTACAAAAAACAGCCAAATGCCTGCCTTCCCCATCAGTTCTTGCTACCACCTACGAGGGCACTCGCCACTCTCACCTGAGCTTCTCCGAGCCCCAGTTCGATCATCTCCACTGACTTGCGGAGCAGGTTGGATTTCTCATGCACGAGATTGGCTTCTTCATCCTTCTTCAGGCACTTGATGGTCTCCAGCAAGCTGTGCAGGATGGAGTTGTGTTCATTCTTCAGTGCCTCCAGCCCCTGCATCACCAGCTTGGTGTTGGAAATGATCTCCTCTTGGCTCAGCTTGTCCAGTTTCTCCTCCCTTGGGTACACCATGGTGGACATAGTCCTGCTACCGCAGCCCTACACAGAGAGGGAGACAAAAACCCAGGAGCCTCAGTGCTATTTCAGAGAGCTGCAATCAGACAAGTGTAAGCCTCCTTCAGGCAGCCAGAGACAGGGTACAACTGGTTACCCACACTAAGTCTTTCCCCTTTGTCTTCCCCTCTCCCTTTGGCAGCAGGCAGCTCTCAGGGCACGTGTCTCTGCTTCTGTGGCATGGAGCACTGGCAGACAGGGCAGGTGGCACGCATGGACAGCAGACAAAAAGGCCAGAACAAGCGCTGACTTCCAACACCCCCACACCCCTGGCAGCAAGGAAAGCTGATTTAGCTTCCATTTAAGAGCAGAGATCTGTAGTCGGCAGCTGGGGCTGCAACACGTACACCTCCCGCCCACAAATCACTGATGCGAGGAGGCTGTCAGAGCTCAACGCCTCTTCCGACTGCAGAAGAAAGGGAATAGAAAGTGGAGAGATGCCAGCTCAAAGCTTTCCGCTTCCTCAAATTCCCTAGAAGAGTACCTCTCAGACTGGGAGGCACCTGTGGACTTACTAGACCAGTCAACAAATTCCCTGACCAAATGCGGACCCCGAAAATCTCAGCCCCCGGCACAGAACAGCCCTTGTGGGACACGAAAACACCAACATTGACTGAAGCACGTCTGTGTGGGGAAGTTTACATGCACCAACTGCGCAAGTTATACTAGCGTAACCCTTGTGTGGGTGTTAGCTTAAAACAGCAGCAGCTTTCCCAGCTCCATTTGCCCTGCTGCCAGCCCAAGGACTCCTCAGGATGGCACAAGAACTCTGCACTCCTTCCCCGTCTCACTCTCCCCATCTATACAACAGACAGTACCAAGCCACTGCCTTTACACAGGGGCACCGAGCGCTACAATCCACCACGTTAGCATGACCGCAAGATCCCTGCATAGCAAACTCAGGAGCTAGGGAGAGCCGTGCCTCACAATGCGACGCCCCTCAGCAGGCAGCAGCATCTGCCCAGCGACACCCTTCTGCAGGCCCAGAGCTGGCAGGAGGCAGCGCAAGCTGAGCACCCTGGACCCTGCTGGCAGACTGCCCAGGCGTTACACAGCACTGTGGCGGTGGGACAGGCTGAGGAGCCGCCTGGCGGATTTGTGTTTGTCCTCCTGCAGGACCTATCTCCGCAGGATTTTGAGTAATTTGTTCAGCAGCAGCCTTGGGCCTGGGTTCACAGAGCGAGCAGAAATGCCGCCCTCAGCAAGAATGTCTCGTCCTCCTCGTCAAGCCTCCTCTCCTCCTCAGCTGCACACTTTGCCCAGGAGGGCTCAGGACGATCCCCCAGCTCAGCTACCACCAGTCTTGTCTAGGAGCAGGCCCTGGGCACGAGAGGGGACCAATTTCCTCCTCACTGCAGCAGGGAAAGA